TAGCGCCACCCAGGGGCTGCCTGCCGCAGGGGCGCCTCTAGCGCGGGAACGGGCCCCAACCCCGGGGAGGCTCTCTTTGGCTGTGGACGCCAGCACAAGCAACGCCGGCTGGACTCCGGCCCCCCGGGCCGGGCCTGGCTTGCCTCTGGGCTAGGACGACCGACAGGGCCCAGGGCCCAAACAGCTCGGCCTTCCGGCCCCGCGGCGCGCCGGCACGCCTCCCAGCCTGCTCCTCAGGCCCGTCCTGGGGCCTCCCAGGGCCCACAGACCCCTGCAACCCGCTCCGGAGAGGCGGCGAGCCTAGCTGCCCGAGTCCTCCTGACCTTGGGCCTGTCACACTGCTGAAGGCAGCAATCTCCCAGCACTAGGCGATGGCTGCCCAGCGGCCAGGCCCGGCTCCGTTCGCTGACTTGGAAAAAACGCGTCATTCCCCTCCGGCCCCTGGAGTTGGCAGAGGCTGAGCCCAATGCTGACCGGGAGAGCTGGGAGCCAAGGCTGCCCAGCCAGGCTTCTCCGCCTCTCCAGGGCTCAGCGCGGGCAGCCCCCAGGGCACCCCCACAGGTAGAGTCCATGGACGTCACCAAGGCAGCAGATGTGTGTCAGCCTCGGGAGAGGGCCTTTGGGCCGGGACCCTCTTGGGACAGTGGAGCTGGGGCACGGCAGGTCCAAGACAGGGCGGATGAGATGTCTCCACACCTCCTGGAAGAAGCCTGAGCAGGGGGTCCCCGCCTTCCTCAGCAGTCGGCCAAGTGTGCTTTAATACCAGCTCCTGGCTCTTGTTCCCAAGATGCTGTCTTGGCAAGCCGGGGTGGGTCCCAGGAACATGCATTTTAACCAGCTCCCCAGGTATCCTGCAGAGGTGCACAGCTCCCAGCTACAGAGCCTGGCATCCAGGGACTGCCACCACGGGCCTACTGCCTCTGCCTCCAGCACCCTGCTCGGGCCCATGTCCCCAGGAACCAACAGAAATGCATCCCCTCAGCAGAAAAGCTGTCTGCTCTGAAATTTGCACCATCTCCTCCCGGGGTTCCATCCACAAGCACACAGCACACAGCTCTACAGACCCTCCCCCACAGCACCCGCCTACCCTTGCAGGCCCACTGAGCCCGTCACTGTGCCTTAGTCTACAGCTCGGGTCACATGGTGCTCAGCAGATGCTTGGGACACTCGGAAGCTGCCTAAGCCTCCAGGACTGGCCCAGCTCTCATGCCAGCCTGTCACCCTCGGACAGTGGCTCTGGCGCCTCCGCCCACTCCATGGCCACGGCTCTTGTCCTCAGCCCCGAGGTGCCAGCCCCTCACCTCGGTGATAAACAGGATGCACTCCAGGAACATGTAGTCTCTGTGGTTCTCGTTCACGGCCTTCTCGTCCACAAAGTGCCTGGGCTCCAGATATGGGTGGTCTGGGAAGCGCAAAAGGCCCTGGGCCTCAGGCCAGGCCCTAGCGCCACCAGGCACCTGGGCCAGTGCCGACACTATCCCAGGGCTGTGGTCCTGCCCTCAACCCTGGTAGGAACAGCACGGCCCTGTGCATGTGTGTCCTAGCATGCCAGGCTCCAGCTCGGCCCTCCAGTGGCACAACCCTGGACAAGTGCCTCCCACCACCAAGGCTGTTTCCCCACTGGGCAGTGAGGATCAGGATGCCCCTCCCCACCAAGGGCTGTGGAGACCAGGACCATCACTGCCATCCTGTAGGGCTCAGGGTGGTGCCTGGCACAGTCAGCCAGCAGGGGCTCCTACACAGCAAAGACCCTTCCCAAGGCCACCAAGAAGACTCAGGGAGGTAACATCCCTGAGGAACTTAGGGCAGGGCCTGGCACAGAGCAATTACATGACAAATGGTCATCATGAGTGTTGTGCTGCAGGCAGTCACTCTATGTCGCCCACCTCTGGCCCATAAAACAGTTTCAAGGCAGGGGAACACCAGAGCTTCCCGACAGGCCCCCCCATGCACAACTGGATAACGGTGGATGACGCTGGTCATCAAGTCAAAAAAGCCTCTCATTTTCAACACAAAACCCGGCAGCTGTTGCCAGGAGCGTCTCATACTTGTCCATGATGCGCCAGCAAGCGCCCTGCTCCAGCCCATGTCACTTCCCATTATCCTGGCAGCGCTTGGGCCTCCTCCCCAGCCCACCATGCCAGTGGCTGGCAGCAGCAGGTCTCTAGCAAGGGTCCCATCAGTAGGCAGCCTGATGCCTGCTCACCAAGCTGGCACTGTCTACCCTGGGCAGGAGGAGGGGGAGGGGGAAATGGTGCAGGGCACAGAGCGCAGCTCTGGCAGGGGTGGGTAAAGGAACTGTCTCCCCCAGCCATACCTATCAGCTGGGAACTGCCCCAGATAAAGGGCAGGAACTGGAAGTCGTCCAGGCCCCACACACCCTGGCTGCCTGCCGGCTCCATCCGGTATGTCTTCTGGAGCTTCCGCATCACTTCCAGGTACCTGCAGGGGACAAAGGTGGCGAGGTCGCATCGGCCCTCCCGTCCCTGGGGGTTCAGGGAGGCCAGAAGTCCTGCTTGGGAGAGGTGCTGGGCTCGACCATACCAAGAACCTCTCAAAAGAAAGCGGCTTGACTGGCCCCTCACTTGGCCTTCTTTCGGTCCGAGGAAGGGACAGAATGCTAACTGGAAACTGTACCTTGGTGCCATCAGCTCCCGACAACCTGCAGGCCCTTGGACAGGAGCCCCAGCTTCCCTAGCCCAGGCCCCCGTCTAGCAAGCAGACCACGCGTGGATCCTCACGGCCCCAGCCTTCCATTTACCAGCACTGGGCCTCAGTCACCTGTGAGTGTGCAGCACTCTGCTCCTGGGCTGCCCCACCAGCCTGCTGCCCCAGTGTGGCCAGAGTGGGCCCGAGACGGAGACACAGAGCCTGCAGGCGGCCGACCCACACCTGTGCAGCCCAGCACATTCTGGTGATGAGGGGCAGCCCAGCAGAACCTGGCTGGCTGTGTGAGCTCAGGGAGGAGACATGACCTCTCTGTGAAAGGGGAACAGGGTTGGAGTGAGGATGGCATGCTGCCTCCCCAGGTGAGCACCACCTGGGACAGCTCCTTCAGTCTACTCTGACTTGGAAGTGAGTCTGAGCCCACTGGAAGCCGGACTCTTGGACCTCCACCCACACGGCCAGAGCTTGATCAGGACAGAGACCCATGAGCCCTCAGGGGCACCTCCAGCGACCCGCCCCAGTCTGAGGAGGAAAGGGACCCCATGCTCCCCTCCTCCCCCCTCACCCTTAGGGGTCGAGTGCCTTCAAGGCTCCCCCACCTGCCCCTCGCCCTCACCGGTTGAACACCTTGAAGACAATAGCAATCTGGTCATCCACCCGGAGCACCCCAATCTTGCAGAGACAGCAGAGGAAAGCAGCAAAGGCTGCCTCGTGCCCTGCAGGGACAAAACAGCCAAGGTTGGCAGTCGTCCAGAAAAGGGACTGGAATCTTTGGGTCTCCTGAGTCCTAATCACGGAGTGCTCCTCGGAGGAGGGCATCGACATGGGGACCCAGGGCCTCTTCCTCACCCAGAACGCCCTCCCAGGCCTTCCGCAAATGCCCCCTAGAAGGCCCAAGCTGCTGACATCTTAAACAATCACTTTACTTTGCAGGTTGAATGCACTCAGCACTTCCACCCGTTACTGGCACCTACTGTGTGGGCATGCCTGGCCCTGGGGAGGGCCCTCAAAGAGTTTATGACCTGTTGGGTACAGCAGACATTAAATATACAGTTGTGACTGGTTCTAGTCTGAAGAGGCAAGGCAGGGTAGTGACTAGAAGGCATCACAGGGCCCTGCCGCAAGGGGGTCAAGATTCCCCCTAAAGAAGGGGCACTCTGCCGGGTGGCTCAGCCTGTCATCCCGCGCCTTTGGGAGGCTGAGGGGAGTGGATTGCCTGAGCCCGCGGGTTCGAGACCCGCCTGGGCAGCGAGACCTCATCTCTACAATAAATAAAAAAATCAGCCGGGCATGGTAGCACATGCCTACAATTCCGGCTACTCGGAAGGCTGAGGTGGAAGGATCGCTGCAGCCCAGCAGGCGAGGCTGCGGTGGCCAGGAGCGGCCGCTGCACTCCAGTCTGGGCGACAGAGTGAGACTCTGACTCAAAAAAAAAAAAAAAAAAAATAGGGGCACTCCTCTGACATCTGGAAGATGGATGAGAGCTGGCAGGGCAGACAGGTGTGGGAGGAGGAAGTGCATTCTAGCCAGAAGGAACAGCATAGCAAGGCCCCTCAGCAAGAACAAGCATGATCTGTGTGGAGAACCAGAAGAGGGCCAGGACGGCCTGGGCAGCAAGAGCGAGGAAGGACGTGTCATGGGACAAGGCCACCGGTCCCGCGGACTCCACGGCCACAGTGCAGAGCTCAGACTTTATTCTGTGAGCAGTGAGGAGGACGGCTGGCTTCTGAGCAGGCAGCACAGGGCCAGGGGACAGGCCAAAGGCAGCTCCTCCCTTCCCCACTCAAGCGGTCCATGCTTGAGAGATGACTGCCCAGGCTTCGGAAGGAATCCCATGGCCACACATGTGGAGGGAGGTGGGAGAGAATATTCCAGGAACTCCTGCTATTTCTGGAGAACGAGGATCCTCCAGGCTCAGTTTTCGGCCCTGGGCAGGCTTCCAGTTAAGAGCAGCCAGAGTCCCAGCACCCAAGTGCAGGGGTTCCTGCGCAACTCAGCCTCCCAAAGCGCTGGGACAACAGGCATGAGACAGCACGCCCGGCCTCAGTCTCCCTCTTCGATCTGTTTCCCTATTGGTCTTGGTCAAGCCCCACCCCTCAAGGTCTCAAGGCACTTGATAAACCTGTTCCCCTGCAGGAGGGAGCAGAGGACAGAACTCTCCTAGGAACCAGGTGTGAGAGGGCCCTTCTCTAGGACCTGCTCTGTGGCCTGGGCTCCCTCTGGTGGACCACACCCCTGGCAAGGGGAGGGCTCTGAGCCAGCAGCTTCAGGGCAGAGGGGAAGCAGGAACCCTCCTTGGCTACACTGCTGCCCCCAACCAGAGAACATGTCTTTTTTGGAGTTAGAGTCTCACTCTGATGCCCAGGCTGGAGTGCTGTGGCACAACCACAGCCACCCCAGCGTCAACCTGCTGGGCTCCGGCAATCCTCTTGCCTCTGCCTTCCAAGTGGCCGGAACTACAGGTGCGTGCTACCACCACACCCAGCTAATTTTTTTAATTGTAGAGATGAGGTCTCACCAAGTTGCCCGAGCTGGTCTCGAACCCACGGGCTCAGGCAATCCACTCTCCTCGGCCTCCAGAAGTGCTGGAATGACAGGCCGAGTCACCGTGCCCAGCCAGAGAACATGTCTCCTTTAGGGAGGCCACACACACCCTCTCCTCAAAGTCCACGTCAGCTCAACAGCATGGAGGAAGTGGCTAAGAGACAGGGTACCAGGGAGTGGGTGTGCTGTGATGCTGCCAGAGGCGGCCAAAGAGGCCATTCGTTCTTGAAGCTTCCGGAAGCAGCAGCCGTGACACACAGTAAGCGCTCAGGACAAGATGATCCGGGAGACAATGAGGTGCTCACGGAGATCTTACAGGGTGCAAAAGCCGGCTCTACGAGCATGCCGTGCCTGGGGCGTCAGCTCCCCCTGGTGGACCCGGCCCGCGCTGCAGCGCCAAGCTCCGGCTCGCTGCCCCTCCACCCCCTGCAACCTCCCAGCCCGGCAACCGCCTGGCCCAGCCGGCTCCAACAGGGAGCCCTGAGCCCCCAGAAAGAAAGCAGTGAAGCCCACCAAGCGCAGAGCCCCGCGGGCGGCGGCGGCTACCTGTGCCGTAGTCGATGCGCGTGGCATTCCCCACTGACTCCTTTAGGTAAACGGCCACCTCAGGCACAGCAGCTGCCAGGTGGGGGGGGACCACCGTGGCCACCAAGTTTTCCGCTTCCTGGCAACACAAGAGACACAGTGGTGGCAGCATCCCAGAGGCCCGGTGCCCAGACCAGCGAGCTCCCATGCTGACGGACCACAGGGGAGGCTGCTGGAGGCTCAGCTGCTGCGCCCCGTCCAGGGCACAGAGGTCTGCCAGCCAGGCAACAGAACCTAGAAAGCAGCCATCCAACGCCCCCGTCGGGTCAACGCACGGAGCCCCAGGGAACTCCAGGAGGTCAACATGAGGACCCGCAGGCGCGCCGCCACCTTCCTTCCCACTCAGGGCAGCGAGCACCCGCGCCACCAAAAGACCCACACAAGCTTGCTCACAACAGCACTGCTTCTAGCAGCCAAAACATGGAAACACACCTGAAACGTCCATCAACAGTGGAATGAATTGTGGTATATTTCACGCAACAGAATGCTACACAGCGAAGAAAAAGATCTACTGCTCCAAAAGACAATGGGGATGAGCCTCACAGACGTAACAAGACACAAAATAAGCCAGATGCTTACACGAAGTTTAAAAACATGCTAAAAATCAACTTATGGGACAGAAATCGCCAGACTGGGAGGGGGTACAAGGGCCCTCCCTGCTGCAGTGATAGAATGTTCTATAGGCTGACATAGGTGGTTAGTACATGAACAAGAACATACATAAAAACCCACTGAGCTATTTAGCCATGATTTGTCACCTTTAAGTTATAACTTTTTTTTTTTTTTTGAGTTGGAGTCTCACTCTGTCACCCAGGTTGGAGTGCAGTGGCTGCTCCCAGCCACCGCAGCCTCGATCTGCTGGGCTTCGGCGATTCTTCCGCCTCAGCCTTCCACCTCAGCCTTCCAAGTAACCGGAATTACAGGCATGCGCTACCACGCCTGGCTGATTTTTTGATTTATTGTAGAGATGAGGTCTCGCTGCCCAGGCGGGTCTCGAAC